CTCCCCCTTCCCCCCCTTGCTACTTCTCATTGAAGTGGAACTTCTAATTGAGAGAATTTTGGTAGTCAAGGAATTTATGTGCTCTGCTTGTTGTGGAGCAACACCAACAATTGATTTCACCATCATTAGGCACTATTTATCTACCATAATTAATGCCCTCAATCACCCCCACTTGAAGAAGTTGATCGAATGATAATGCCGACACAAGTCTTCCTAATCATATGATCTCTCATCATGTATGAAGATAATCAAGCTGACAAACTTCTTAATATTGCTCGACTTCCGGCATTCCTCATTAATAATCTCCCACTTTATGTCAGAGAGAAGTTTAACATACTACACTAACCATTTGGTGATTATGATCATATATTTTTTAGTCTCCTCTTCAATAATGTTAAAATTAAGTTGATTGACTGAGTTCACCTACCCCTTCATGTTTCTCATTAATCATTATCCAACATCTTCTCCCAACATTCCCTAACCACTGATGCCCAATTCCTTCAATCACTAACAACTGACAAAAAATACAAGCCTTTTTAATTGACCTATAAGGAGAAGGATCAAGCTAGTCCACATGACATTACCCAACCTTTAACATTCCACATTGACCATTACCAAATGTATATCAAAGTAATGCAAACATATGTCAACTATTAATATTTGATGCAAGCCTTTCGAATATCAAATTTAAACTCCTATAAGGAGAATGATTGAAAAGACTATCTGATCTTGCTTAATCTCTAATATGTCATATTAAATGAAATCTAATCTTTGACATTCCTTGTCAAACTTTGCCTCACACCTACCAATGTCCAATGCTCATCTTATAGGCTTATTAATATCCCTTCTTATAAATAAATGATTGACATAACCACGTTATATTAATTTATCTCCAATGTTCTTCATTGGATATTGTTTCACCTTACCAATGTCTTTAGCTAGTAACATGTAACATAAGCATTCTCAATCATATAAGTCATCCTCTTATAAGAATAAGAATAGTTTAAACTGCATAATATCACAAACCTCTATCGTATCCTATTAATTATCGCCTCATGCATGCCAACAAGAGATGTCTCCTTTCATTAACCATTAACATTTAATGTCCTCATCATCAATCACTTGATGTTGTTAAACTTTACTATCCACTGGTGATAAATGAATGTTATCTTAATTAGTTGATTTACGTTTATATAATAAGAATGATAAAATAAATCGCATAACATTTAAGATTTCTTATTTATTATCACCTGATGCATGTTAAAGAGGATGTTTGACATTCTAAATAAATAACATCATATACAAGCTTATCAATCATTTAGTACCAACTCTCATATGGAAAATGAACTAGCCAAATGCTTAACATTTGATGTTCCTCATTGATCATCAACCAATGGATGCGAAAAAGAGATGTTTAATGTTCTTCAACAAGCTAATGGAAAAAGATAGTCCTGCTTGAGATAGAAATAAAATATTCCAATTAAGATTCTAGATAAGGGTATGGAAAAACTCACTATGGATGTGGTTACTAATCCAAGAATAAGAAAGGGAGAGAAATTGAGTGCAATGTAAATGAAAGGTAAAATTATAAAAAGTAGAGGAACATAAACTTTAAAGTAGTTTGATCATTATGACATGTGTCACTATGGAAAGGCACTACCAAGAGCTTTTTATTATTATCACTTTGATAATTTAGGGTTAGTTATTATTATAGAGATGAAATAGAGAGGGATTGAAAAAGAAAGAGTGATTCTCATGTTCTTTACATAATAATTCCTTTTAGAGATGTTAATATATTGATCATCTTGGTATCTTGCATTTTCATGGTTCTATAGATTCTTATGGGTGTCATTAATAGTGCCCTTCATGATAAGGATTTGATCTTAATGTTATAAATAGTCCATTGAAGTTATAAGGTGTAATAACTAGAACTAAAATAATCAGTTACCTGTATGATTTGAACTGATCTAGTAAGACTAGCACATTTAAATTTTGTATCTTCTAAATTTTAATAATTTTTTATGAAATTATTTTCCACTTAAATTAGTCCCAAGGGTTCAATTTTTGAAATTAGAATAGAAATTATGTGTAAAAAACTAATTGGGAGCACTACAACACTATGATCTAGGCACTATGGCACTGAGCTCTCTATATTCTGGTAAAATAAAAGGTTCATTAGGAGTACACCAATATGAATTCTAAGTATTGTAGTGTTGAGTTCTTTATATTCTGAATAAGTTTAATGTTTATTGGGAGCATAGTGGCATTGGAACTTCGGGCACCGTGGTGCTACATTTTGAAATTTTATATAAAATATCAAAATCCACTAAAATGAGTTATTAAAACTCTTTTTTAACATTTGATTAGCTTACTAGTGAGAGAGAGAGAGAGAAAGTGCAGAATTTTAGAGAGAGTTTATTTTGGTCGTCTTTGAGCCATTTTTATCAGTCAGACCAATTGAAAAAGTTATTCGGATTAAGATATATTACATTTACCTAACATTTATTATTAATGTATTAATAATATAGTTTAAAAATTTACTTTTTAATTTAAAAAATGATAAAAAAAATTAGGATAAATTGATATCTAAATAAAATTACTGTATAACGTTTGGTATGTTATTGTTCTCATTATTCTACGTATTTTCACATATTTATTATGAATTTTCATTAGGTATTTATAATTGTATGATATTTTAGGTCTTTTGATGGGGTATATTGATATTAATAAAAGTTTCAATAGAAGGAATAAAAGTTCTAAAATATTGTTATGAGTATTATATTTGAATAGTTTTATGATGATAAATGTTAAAGTGTGTATATAAATTTACCCCAAAATTTTGACTACTCTATCATAAATGTGAAATTTTGTATATTTCTTTGATGTATTTGATATGATTTACACATGTTAAAAGTGCTAATATTTATTTATGTGATTGAAACTATATGAAAGAAGGGAATGTTGGTGACTGGTTATTAATGCTCATATACATCCAAGTGAGTGTATGCGAGCTTGATACTGAATGAATGAATAATTAATGTTATGGGCTCGGATATATTCATAATAGTATAACATTATTGTGTTATGTACAAGGAGTCATAAATACCTAATACTTATGTGCTATGTATATGGAGTTATAAGAATCTTATTCTATATGTGTGAAATGTTTGGGAAATATAAGGGCTTTATAGGAGACGGATGTGATGTGTATCTAGAGACTAATGTAATTTATTTATATCTATCATCTATAAACTTATATTATTTTAACTATCTGATTAAAATTTTATGTTACCATTAAACTAAAAATAGCTAAACAACTTATATGCAAGCCACTATATTTCGTAATACTACCTTCTGTTGAAATTTTTTATACATATAGTATGTTTCTTATTTTATGATGATTGAATAATCTTTTTATATATTATTTTTCTTTATTATTAAGAATTTGGGTTGGTTTTGTGTAGCCTCATGAGGTATGGTTTGCTAATTACTACTCTTTCTATTTGTGTAAATTTCAGATAATGAAAACAAAATGGAGTAGGTTGAGTAGATATAGATTATAAATTTCTAATATTAGGTATGACATTCTACTAGTAGAATATTTAGGCAATCATGGTGTATTTCTAATTAATATATAGTAAATATATACCATGATAATGATTCATGAATATTTTGACTATATAATGTAGCTTTGTGTCTTTATTAATAAAAGAAAAGAAAAAAAATTCTTCCAAAGAAGTTCTTGAGATCTATCATTTTGTGATCCAACATGATGTGACCTATTTGGTATATGAGTTAGGTCAAGTTCGGTCATGATAAATTTTTTTGGTATCAAAGAAATGGTTTGGAGGAATTGATTATAATAGAGATATGGGATTGACTTGTATAAGGGTGGTAATCATTTAGAAGTGTGATTTATGTGATTGAATCTTATGAATCCCCAAGAGTAATATATGATTAGTGTCTAGCTTTCTAGTAGACTTTACTATTATAGAGTACAATGAGAGTAAGGATGCATGCAAAATAATGCACCTTAAGCTACCCATTATATGTGTCACACAATCAATTCCTACGACTATGGTAATAATCGACTCTTCCAACAACTACTATGATACTAATTGTGATGCCCCTGAATCAAATTTTTTAGAATAAAATTTAAATAAATCATTTTAAGACTTCAAAAATTAAAGAAAATTTTTATTAAAATAAATCATTTTGTTTTAAAAAAATAATGATGAAATTGGTTTACTAAAAGATGTCAAATTCTTAAAGATTTTTTATAGTGCTAAAAAATTACAAAAAAATGTGAAATTAAAATACTACAATATCAATGCTATGGCTAAGACGATTTGTTATTTGAAGTTCTATTTACTCGAGGAAAAAAATTATTTACTTGGATCAAAATAAGGGTTATTACAATAAGCTCCTATTGTCCATTTAAATCCTTTTATAATTGTAACATAGGTTGCCAATCTCAATCTTAATCATGAGAGAATCTTGATGAGGGATTTTAAG